ACCACAGGGGCAGTATCGGATATCATAAGGGATTTTCCTGTATTTTCCTTCTAAAACAGCTGTAGGGAGAGCGTTAAATCGAGCTAAGGATAAAGCTCTCCTGAATTTTGGGACCGTAATATGATATAAGTATGAGACGTTTGCTCACTAGAATTTGGTTATTTGCAATTATATTGTGGGTAAAAACAGCAGTTTCTGCTTGGCCTTCTGCATCTAAGATCCTTTGCCTTAGTAGTGACCTGACTCGGTCAAACTCTAAAGTCAAAATGGCATTGTTGGAAAACCCATAGAGACTCAGTTTCTTTTGGATAGCTGTCTCAAAATTATCTGCCAGTATTAGATGGGTCAGTCCACTGGGGTTATGGTGTAGTATTATAAATGTGATACAGCTTACTTTGGTGCCTTAGTAGCAGCTATAGGTTTTCCATATATAAACACATATAACATATATACAAATAATTTTATATGTTTATATAGTGTATATATACATATAAACACACAAACACATGCAATATGAAAGAAAATATATCTGAATAGAAAAATGATTGTCCTTATGGATGTGAAATGGGTGGTAGTATTAGATTTTTATGAACAAAGTCAAGTCAACCACTGTTATTCAGGAGCAGATGCAAATTTCATCCCCAAAATGGCTTTTTTCATCCATCCATCCATCTATCCATCCATTATTTATTTGACTTTTACCCTATCCCAATCTAACCAACTGTCAGCATCTTACAAATACAATAAAATAAAAATACAGAAATACAGAAAAGGACTGAAATCCATAAAACATACAATATCCAAGTGGTGTCACAACTCAAATGCCCTTTGGAAAAACTTGATGTCCAGCATCTTCCAGAAGGTGATGAAGGCAGGAGCCGATCAAACTTCAGGTGCAAGCCCATTCCAAAGGGCCAGTGCCACCACCAACAAATGACACTTCTGATTTCCCGAAAATGGGGAGCCATCAGCTGCTTCTCCCAGCATAATTGTAATCGTCGAGCTGACTTCTGTAAGGAGATGCAGACTTGTAGGTGGTCTGGCAGCAACCCATAAAAGAATTTATAGGTTAACACCAACATTTTAATAGAATCCAGAAACTATTAGGCAATCAATGCAGGGCTCCCAATATAAGTATGACAGGTTCCCAGCAGTACCTGCCAATGATCATTCAGGCAACTGCATTTTGTACCAGCTGAAACTTTTGGATGTTTTTTTAAAGGCAGCTCCATGTAGAGTGCATTGCAGTAGTCTAGATGGTGGGGATGAGGCCATGAGCCACTATTGCAAGGTTCTCTTGTGCCAGGGCAACAGCCCCCTAGCTGTAGCAATCACTTGATGCTCAACAGGAGCTGCATGTCCAAGAAGATCTGTAAGTTGTGGATCTACTTCTTCAGGAATGGTGCCTCCCCATTCACAGTAGTCACTGGAGCAGAAAGAGAACCCCAATGTACAAAACCTGCCAAGGTTCAGTTTCAATCTGTTCCCTCCCATCTAAACCCTCACAGCCTTCAGGCACCAAGACAGGATTTCAGCGGCATCCCAGCTCTGAGTTAATAACACTTATAAATAAAAACAATTAAGGACTCATTCCGCAACAGTGTTGTCCTTTTGTAAATTTAGCTATGTAAGTCAGGGCACTTCCATCTGTATAGCCCTGCTGCTATGCTGTTTCTTTATTATTCTAGTCTGTAGGAGAAAGTGGGTCCTGAAACTATGAAGAAAAATACTATTTGGACATGTATTCTAATCTTTTTGTGTCAATGCTTAATATCAATGCCTGCGATGCCTCATATGTCCAGGCAGCTTAGATATCTAAAGAGCTACCTCTTAAGATTTTACTGGAAAATGTTGTAAGCAGTATATCTGTTATATAAATAAATTCTCATTTCTCCTGTATTTGTTACAGCCACAGTCAGTAATTATAGGGTTGTTAAAGGAAATGAGCACAAAATTTGAAGAGGAACTTCCCTTATATGCATTATCGTCTACTGATGAAGCCAGACAGATGGACCTGCTTTCATATATCACAAAAATTGTTGAAGGTATTCATCTTTTCTGGAAACTTCTTATCTGGCATTCATGTGTATAATTCATAATATGTTGGTAATGTTGTTTTGGATTTTCCTGGAAGAGTCCAAATCGGTAAACTGCTACATTATAGCAGCAAAGCATAGGATCTAGAACAAGTTTGGTGCAGTGGAAGGTTTCCTTTATCAGACTTTGGTCCTTTTAGTCTGAACTGGAAACAGTTAATCAAGGAACAAGAATCCAAAGGCTCTGAGTAATTGTATTTATTAGAAGGAATAATAAATACAGTTACTAAACTCTATAATGTTAATACCTCAGGAAGTTCATTTGAAAAAAATATGCTAATTTTAAAAACAGACAGAAATCCCAGGGTTGAGCACTACACTAGAAAGTAGAAAAAAATGGCAGAAATCAGCAATGGGTGCTGGAGTAGAAAGTTAATTAAAAAGTTTCTGAAAAATTAGAAAAATGTTAGTCTCCTTTATTAAATCTACTATGCCTAGGGCCAAGCTAAAAGTGCATTTTTGAGTTTGGTATTGCTTGTATCTATCAGCTTTTTGTGTAACAAACAGTTGGAGTGGAATAGCCTTTGCCAAATTGAAACATATAGAGAAGGAGGTCTTTGCCCTTCCCCCAGCTCGGACTGGAAATAATATCCCACATGGGAACAAATCTCCATTAGCTCGGACAACAATACAGTGGTACCTTGGTTTATGAACTTAATTCGTTCCGTGACTCTGGCCGCAACCCGAATTGGTCGCAACCC